ATTTGTTTGATTTTGTATTTGTAATGTTTTAATTTTATTACTATCGAAATGAATGTAATTATTTTATTATATTTCATCCTGTACTGTTGTTCAGTGCTTGACTGTTATTGGCACTTAAATAAATGGAATGGATTGAATTGAATTGAATTGAATTATGAACCAAGACACAAGACAGTTCAGCCATTATCTGCACCGTATTCGACTTAAAGGAGGCGTGTGTGATCAGTTACGATGTACCATCTTTCGCCTAGAAACTCTAGTAAACCTCACGATTAAGAATAAATATACAATCGGTGCGTAGTTAAATGTACACGTATAATGGATAACGCGAGGCAGACTGCGGATGGAGCAGCAGGTGATATAATAGAGCGTTATGTTGCTCTTTACATAGGCAGCTGCAAACCCACAATGCGATTTCATTGCCGTGCTGTGTAATGGACGAGCGAGATATCGATCTAGGCATTTCATTCATTTCTGCCTCGTCTACATGCATAACAATCCCGCTGTATCCATACCCATAGTCTACCACTGAAACTACTACATTCATTGAAAACATTTGCTCTCAGTCACCGAACTGTCAGGTATAAATATTTTTAACAGCAAACATTAAGAGTTTTGCAAATTGTGTAAAATTTTAAACAGATTTACGGCACAGACTATTGCCTCATAGAGCCCCAAGTGTTCAATCGCCCCTTGCAATTCTGATACGTAGGATATGGTTTGAAAACTATCAAATTAACATGGGGATAAAAACGTTAGGTAGACTACGATATTAATAATCCACAAGAACCTAAACACAATATTTATGTAGTCCAAACTGCAACTGAACGATCTAAGGGTACAAAATTCTAAAAGACTAACGCCTTTCGGTAGACATTACAAAAGCAGAATGAACTATGAAATATTTTTACATCCTATATATATTTGACATCTTTGAATAAAGGGGAAATATAACAACAGTGCAAAAAGTACTTCTTTGAAACAATGGACAAAATAACGGTCTCGAAGGAACTTTTTGTATGCAAACTTAAATTATATTGTGCACAAATTATATACGTTTCATTCAAACCCGTCTGGTCGTTCATTTCCAACGTTATTTTAAAGATGTGCATTTGCACCAGCCGGTATACACGAACAATTATACTACATTATGTCGGATATTACAAAATAAAAATAAAATAAAAAATGCTGAACTTAAATTAGTATTACAAAACATACACTATCGCAATCTTTCAGAGATAAGCAAACATACTAGTGTAAAATTCCTATTAGAAATAAAAACGGAATTATTTCTTTCGTATCTTAGTGCCTCCTTCTTAGTTGATTATACACCCTTTGTGTCCTTAACAGCTTTCCTCCCTTTTCCAGTATTCCCTCTCACTCTTTTCATTTTCCTTCCTATTTTGATTCGCATTCCTGTTCTTTCCCATATTTATCACCTTCGTACCTAAATACGTTTACGTTGAAAGCATGAAATTACAGAAGAATAATAACACAAGGCAACAATTTTTCACTTTTCCCGGTAACATGGACAATTTTCAGTGTTCCTTACTAATTTTGTGGCGCTGATTTCAAATATGACCTTGAAAAATACCTAACACGTAAGATTTTTTGATACGATAACGTTTAGTTTTTCTCGTTTCCGTATACACTACAAAGTTTAGCCTACTACTAATATCACTTTTATGGGTTAATTTTCAAAGCTGCTAGTAGTTTTCTTCCTTTCGCTTTCCAAGGAAACCTTTCACCACAGATACAAAAAATTTCCACGCTGCGAGTTCTTTAGCAGAAAGTCTGGCTTCAAAATTTCCATCGTCCAACAGTTTTCTGATCTGAGGCCCGACAAAAATTCCTTCTTTCAACTTGGCATCACTAAGATTCGGAAAAATTCCTTGTCCATTCCTTTACCAAAATTTTTGATAAGTCCTAGTTTAATATGAAGTGGTGGTAAGAGAACATTTTGTGGACCAACCAAAGGCTTGAACTTGATATTACTTTTTCCCGGAATTAATTCATTTCTTCGCGGCCAGTCTTTCGTTTCATAGTGCCTCTCTGTTGCTCTACTGACCCATATACTGAGGGAACAGCAGTATTTAGTGAATCCCCCTTGGAGACCGAGTAACAACGCTATGAC